TATCTGCCCCCTGTTCCCTCTCCCCACTCACCTGTCCCCACTCCCCACTCCCCAGCCCCCTCTTCCCACTCCCCTGTTCCCTCTCTCCAGCCCCCTCTCCCCACTCCCAAGCCTCAGAAACTTGTCCCCACTGGCACCTTGTCCCCTCTCCCATCCCCAGCTGCAGAAACCTGTTCCCACGTGGCACGGAGTAGGTAGTTTGAATTAGGATCTCTAATTCGAACTACCGGTACTCCAGGAGATCCTAATTTGAACTACCTACTCCATGCCGCGTGTAGCCGCGGGCACGGAGTTCGGACTAAGGGGGATTTAAGAATGGCGGCGCCTGGGAAGATGCAAATAAAGCCCGGAATATTTAAATCCTGGGCTTCATTTGCAACTCGGTCGCCCTCATTTGCCTACCTAGCACGAACTACCGAGCTAGTGTAGACATACCCCCAAATCCCTCATTTCCACCCCGGAGCCTACACATCCTGTCTCAACCCAGCGAGAGTACGACTAGACTGCAGGAGTTTTTCAGGATTCCAGAGATATCCCAGAAAAACTCTTCTGCATTGAGGGATGTGTTTGTTCTTCCACTTCTTTTAGTGGAACAGCAAACATGATCTTTTGGTCACCCCTATATTCCTCTTTCCACAAGGAATAAGGGGGCTTCCGAAAGAAGGGGTTTTTCTGGCATTTGGTCAAGTCTAGACAGGCCAAATGTTGGAAAAACTTCTTCCTAGCAGTATAAGGATTGGGGATAGCAAGTGATGGAGAGGAGGAGAATAGAGAAGGCGGGGCTTCAAGGAAGGGGCAGGGCTTCAAGGAAGAGGCGGGACGGTAGATCTTGGCTTGTTCTGTCATTTCAAAAGTGATCTTGGGTGTAAAAAGGCTGAAGACCACTGCTCTAAGGCTACGTCTAGACTGCAGGCTTCTTTCAGAAGAAATCTTCCGAAAAAACTTCTTGTGAAAGAGAGCATCCACACTGCCAAAGCCCATTGAAAAAAGCGAGCTGCTTTTTCAAAAGATAGCGTCCTCACTGAACGGAAAAAAATACACTTTATACATGCTTAGTCTATTGAATACAATAATTACAAACTAATATTTACTTGTCAAAAAAGAACACAGAAAAGGGAGGAAACAAACTGCATTCCAGGGCACTGTGGAATACAAACAAAAAAGTTTGTGCCAACAACTTCAGCAAAGGTCTATGTGAGTTACACACCATTTAGAACGGGAATACATAAAAGTGACCAACTCGTCAGACTGTTCTGAATTTACACAAAAAACTATTGAAGCTGGAATGGTCCTATATATCCAAATATCTGAGAGATTTGCTGTGTGGAGTATGGGATACATAGTCAGCTGTATGGTCTGTGTTCTCACGAGCAGAGTTAAAAAAGAGCCATTAGGAAAGATCGAGGTCAATTGAAAGATTTAATTAAAACACTACTATTCATATCAGTGAGTCCAAGCCTGCAGGCTCTTTCTTGAGTCATGGCTTGGGCAGAGTGAAGGAACTTGTAAACAAAGCTAAGCTTTTACTTGAAAAATTGGCTTTTTGTTTAATTGCTTTCTCATTCAATACTGTCATGTGGATTTTTTTCCACAAAATATTTGAGAAATGGAAATTGATATTTTCAGTTCTATAGAAGGACTTCTTGCTTCTGCCATGCTACACAGGCATGTCATACTAACTGGCAACTCAGAATCTTCTATGAATCAAAAGCGACGAGGAGTCCTGTGGCACCTTATAGACTAACACGGCTACCCCTCTGATCTATGAATCAAGGCATCTTTCATACTACATACACATATCAATGCCACACATTTCCACCACACAGGGTGAACAAATGCGAGGTTCGGTGTCAGTTTTGAATCTTTCCTTTGTGTATCTGTAAGGAATTTTTTTAGCTAACAGTGTAGAGGTATTTAAGAAGGTCAGGAATACTGTTGTAGTAGCTCCTCACAGTTATTACGTAACAAAATGCATGTACAGATCTGCAAAAATGTCAATGCAGTGTATGATGCAGTCTCAGACCTCAGAGTTCATAGAGAGATCAGTCATGCAATAAAAACAGGCCTAGTTCAGGTGCAGTTTTTTATCTGCAATTCATTGACAGCAGGAAAATGGAGAACAGGACTAATCAACCAACACAATGAATGTGTAATGCAAGAGATCTTGGGTCATCAACATGCTGTCTGATCCCTGATTAAGGGCTACTAGTCCAAAGAAAGAGCATTGTACACAAAACTTTACAGTCTAGGAACAAAAGACTATGAGGTAACTGATATGTTACAACAAAGAATAAGTTTCTAATCTTGATCTCTTTGAAATCCATGGAAAAACTGTTCTTGACTTCAGTGGAACCAAAATTTGTTCTTTGGTGTGATACAGAGGCACACTGGTTATTCACTACTTTTTCTCAGCAACCCTTATTAGGCCTGACAAACTCATTCCATCAAACACACTGATATAAGAGTGTTTCATCTGTAAAGAGCATGGAAGCTATTGACACACTGGTCCCTAATGTAGTGCTAAGGTACACATTTTATAATATGAGGAATTACTGATACTGACTGATATGAGGCTTTAAAATCTCTAGCCAAAGGGAGAAAACAGTTCAGGGTTTTTTTTTTCCAAACAAGACTGAGGATAATTATCTCCCCCTTTCTAATGTAAATTGAGTGTGACCATGCTAGAGACAATGGACAGTTCATTTGCAGTAAAGGTAAACAAATTAACATAGAGATGTGAAATCATCATGGATAAACACTGGAGTTTGAATCCCAGATGTTTATCCTGACTCTGTTGACAAAGACAATAAAACGAGGGTGGAGAATACAAGAAAAAGCAAAAAGATATTTGACATTGAGGGGAACATGTGAGGGGACAAAGAGATCAGGGCTTTTTGTGTCTATGAACAGTAGGGCACCACCCATGTGGACTGGTGATGCTGAGAGTAGCAGTAAGTGAGACAACTGCTAAGATAAAGCTTGGAGCCTGCTGAAGTTATATATGATTTCTTAGAAGCATGGATATTTGTAACCATTTTCTCTAGCTCTGTGCAGTATCAATTGAATCCCTGTCCCTCACAAATACATTTATTCATGCTTCATTATAAATTCACCTTAGTTCTGTCATAATAAAGTAAGATGCACATAATCAACTGAGCCAACAGACTGGTGAGTGTTGCATCTCTTTGAAGATAGTGGACCCATGAATTTCTGTAAAGGTGCGTCTACACTGCACTGTTATTTCAGAATAACTAGTGTTATTCCGAAATAACAATGGGGACGTCTACACAGCAACTCTCTTATTTTGAAATAATATTGAAGTAACGAGCAGCTTATTCCTACTTCTGTATAAACCTCATTGCACAAGGAATAACTCCTCTTCCAAAAAAGCTATTTCAAAATAGCTGCCGTGTGGACACTCCACTGCTGCTATTTTGAAATAGCTCACGGGGACCATTCTAAGTAATTTCTCAGCAGTTCTTCCTGGGGCTCTAAATCAAGATAGTGTGTCCGTCCACATTCAGGGAGCCAGCCTTGGACTAATTTTGAAGCTTCCCTGTAGTGTGAATGCTCTATTTTGAAATAAGCTATTTCAGAATATATCTTCCGGAATAGCTTATTCTGAAATAAGCCTGCAGTGTAGACGTACCCTAAGTGTCTAGTGACAGGAATTGAATGCTTCAGAGAACCACTCTTACAGTGGGTTCAGGCATCCAGGCAGCAAGAGTTACCTGCAAAGTAAGGAAAGGACTGGCAGAGTCTTGAAACATTTGCTGGGCTGGCTAACAAACTGGAGTGTCGGGGAGCTGACATATAGTTTAGCAGAAACAAATCTTTCTCTTGGAGTGTGTGTAGACTAGACATTTTTTTCAAAAAAAAATTCCTTTTTTCGAAAATCTTCACCCATGTCTAGACTGCCACCGCGTTCTTCTGAAAGTAAATCGAAAGAACATGGTAGTTTTGTTGACAGTGGTAAACATAGTTTTACGAGGAAGAACGCCTTTTTCAACAGAGATCTGTCAAAAAAAGGTGTGTTTGGATGCGGGGGTGGGAGGGTTCGAAAAAACAGACCTCCAGGGAAAAGCCCTGGTGGACACTCCAGGAAAAATCTCTATTGCTCCTGTCTGTAGCCATGTCTTAAAGGCACAGGCACCCTGGGCAGCCATTGTGGCAGGAAGGCAGCCAGAGGAAGCCATTGACCACACGGCTCTCCCTGCCTCTCTGCCCAGAAAGCAGGGCACAAGCCCAAGACCCCCGAAGCTCACAAGAACCTTCCAGGGAGCCATCCCACGACCCATCCAGGGGGCCAAAGAGGCAGTCTCCAGCCTGGTCAGGGCCTGAGGTCTTGACATTATTGGAACTTTGGGGAGAGGAGGAAACCCTGCAGGCTCTGCATTCCCAGTTGCATGGCCGAGGGGCTGGCAAAAAAAGGCCATCACCCCCGAACATTGGACCAAGTGTGGGCCAAGGTTAAAGAACTGAGGCAGGGCTATGCCAGGGCCCGTGAGCACAGCTCAACCTCCCGGGAAGCACCTCAGCATTGCACTTATTTCCAGGAGCTGGACAGATTCCTGCATGGTGAGGAACCCCTCTCTGCACCAGTTCTTGTCCAGACCGGGTTGCAGACACCTATCCAGCACTGCCAGAAGGTGGCTGAGGACAACCCAGAGCAGCAGCTGCAGGATGATGATGAGGAGGAGGACCCCAACAGGAGTGTTGTCACCCTCACCCTGGAGCCGGCCCCCCAGACTCAGGAGGCCTCACAGGTATCCTCGGACCCTGGTGAGGAAATATCAGGAGAGTGTGGTTAGGTTGCCATACACACAGAACAGGGGAGGTGGGAGCACAGGGGATGCGGGCTAATCTGCACGTCATGCTCTTCCTGGACAGCTTGCACCTCTCTGTGCATGTGCAAGCATATTCAGTCCCAGGGCACACATGGGCAGCTGCTCACAGCTCGGGGAGGGTCCCACACATGTCTGACCCCAGGGAGGGCTGTCCTCCCCTCACCAGGAACTGCGGGAAGCAGGCCGGTCACAACGGTGCACGCATGACACCACACAGACCACTGCAAGTGTCAGACATAGCACTCGGCCATGTATGCACATGCGACACAACAATTGCTCCCACAGACAGGTCCGGACTGAGGGGTGGGCGAGCCGGGCAGCTGCCCAGGGCACCAACCTATGGGGGGCACCTGATGGCAGCTGTAAGGGAC